CTCAGGCTGTCTGCTCAACTGCCAAGAGAAAAGCCACCTGTAGCAGCAGTGCTGGACAACATGGATGCTGCCTATTGGGAAAGTGTTCCTCTCACCCCAGGGAGGGTCTGGGAACAGAACTTCTGAAAGTGCTCCTAGATTTCTATCCCCTTTCTGTGACCAATCAACACATACAGGCACTGTACTTTGGGCCCTTATATGCATTTTAAGATAAAAATAACTTTGATTTTTTTCTATCTAGGGCAAGCTCCTTCCTTTGCTAGGCCAGGCCATGTGGAGGAGGAGGAATGACAACAGCAGGTACAGCACATTCAGCTCAGGGCAGGTCAGCCACGTGCTCAGCGTGCTTCCAAGTACAGCTCCAAGGAAGAACAACATAAACACATCCAGAGCTTGCTACAGATGGTAGGACAGGGAAAGCAGAACATGATGGGGACACGAATCACATCTAGGAAACCAGAACGAGGTAAGACAAAATTGAACAATGTGAATATAATGGAAAGAACTCCACTAGGCTCTCACTGAAAGATGAACTCCAGCCAGCAGCACACAGGCAGAGGTCAAAAGCACTACTGGCATTCAGCACAGATTCACTTGTTCTGTTCCCCTACTCCATGGCCAGGCACCCCATCTGTTCTCCTCATGGATGGGGAAGCAGCACCCCACCCCTGAACCCTGCTCAGCCCCTGTAACCCAGCATGGCCAAGTCCTGTGAGATCATCTGTAGGCACCACTTGCAAACTCCTGTCCAAATGCAATTAGCTCCTCAAAAGTGCTTTGTGCAGGTTCAATATCTAGGTGACATGGGGCAATAGTGGGCAAAAATACACTGTACCTCAACCACTTGACTTTACATCTCTTAAAGGGATGCAAACTTTAATTTGCTTGATTTTACATATCAAACTTTGAATTGTCTAACATTAATTTACAGAAAAGTAATAAGTTACTTCACCTGGGAAAAGACCTAGAAAATTCAGTTGTCCTCCAGAGAGCAACTGTACCAAATTCAGAAATGAAATTCATTAAGTATAAGAGAAAAGGCCTTAATTCTGCTTTAGCTGAAAATTCTTTTTCAGATTTTAAGTTAGTTTGGAAAAGAGACTTGTTGTTCTAGCACTCCTGAGGAATTTTGCTGAATTGAGCCCCTTCTTTTTAACTGGAAACTCAAAACAACTGTGTTCTTGAACTATTTTTAAAACTTACAAGGTCTTAGGACACTGGTGTCATTAATGTGGTAGAACAAAGGTCACTTATATGCCAAGCCAAAATACCTGCATTCCCTAGCATGGGTTGCTTTCTTAGAAAAGAATCTATACAGAATGACAGCTATCTAAAAATTCTACACAGGCAATCTTAATCTAATCTTATCTCTCCTGACAGGAAACAGAACTAAGTATTTGAAAGGAACTGAAAATACATCTCATTGAAGAGAGGCGTCATTCCTCTTTACTCCAATACATCTTCAACAGCAGGGAAGTGTAACCCCCCTGGCTTTCATCCACATGTACCATGTACCACTGGCTGCCCTAAATCAGAGTCATTGTAGTGACACGTCACCAGCAGGGATGAAAATTAAAGTACCTTATTTGGGATCTCAGACAGCGGCCCAGCAAGACCCAGTGGGAATTTCGCTATGGGGCTGCTGCCTGTGGATGGAGCCGCGTCGCTGGCAGGCTCTGACCGTGTCACGCCTCCGTTGCACCGCGGCCGCAGAAGGGACGGTGACAGAAGAAGGGGTTTGCAGAAGGGCTTTTCAGGAGGGCTTTTCAGGAGGGATTTTCAGGAGGGCTTTTCGGAACGGCTTTGCAGAGGCGCGGCCGCGGCCCCGCTACCCCGCCCGCCCCTGAGGGGTCGCGGCCGCCCCGCTGTTGCTATGGCTCGGCGGGAGGCGGCAGCCAATCAGAGCGCGGCAGGATAAATCTGTCGCTGTTGCCAACGGCCGCGGGCCAATGGGAGGCGGCGGTGGCGGCGGGAACAGCCCCGCGCGGAGCGGGCGGCGGCGGCCGCGCGGGCAGGGCGGGCTCGTCCTCGCGGGGTTCGTGAGGGCGCTGCAAGCCCGACATCTTTGCTCCCTGTAGGGATGCCCGGATTCACTCACGGCCCGCCTGTTGACGGCAATAAACAACTTGTGTGAGCTTTCCAAGCACTGCTGTTCCAAACACAAACAAGAAGGGGTTATTCCCAGTGAGAGCCGCCAAAATAATGGAGGCTCCAGGCTCTCAGCAGCCCAAGTGTCCCCAGGGCAGCTGGTCGTGCGTTGTAGTACATAACTGCATTATGAAAGATATCACTTCACAGCCTTACCTTGAAAGAAATGAACTCTGGAGAAACAGTAAGCGAAAATCTTTACTTGAAAACTTCATAACAAAAGGTAAGGGAGGCATCTTCTTCCTCTGTCTCCAGGCTGGAGGTTTGGCAATGGGGATCCATTTGACAATACAGATTTTTTTTTTTTAAAACAGTAACACTTCAGGAAGATACCAAAACCCCACCCTATAACTTGCAGAATTAATTTGAAACCAGAATGAAGGGCCTGACATTCTACTTCTTGTATTAAACACCAATACAATGGCATGCCCTAGCACTGAAAATTCTGCTGTACGCCAGCTCATGTCACCTGTGGCACTACGGAGTACGGAACACTCCAGAAGTCACACCCTGCAGTACAACAGGAAGGCAGGGATAAGAAATAGCAGTATTTTACCAGCACTTGGCTGAGACCTTATTTTCCAAGCCTGAGAAAAGGTTATCTAATATCCACTGCAAGTCAATGTAACCAAATTTTACTCCTTTGAGCACAGGGGCTTCATTTACCTTCATGATGCAACCAAGGACTCTGATCTGGCCAGTGCTATGATTAGATGTATCTTACTGCCACAGAACCAGTGCCTTGGTAATTTTAACAATTACAGTGCAGCTTCAGACAGCTCCAAGAAAAACCTACAGTCCACAGTGCATCTTTGCTTTCTTCTATCCTTTGCAAAATTCTTAATAAAACTGTAACTAAACCAAACTTTGTAACCATTGAAAACACCTCCATCCTTCTCCCTCACTCTATTCCTCTCCCTGTCGGACTCCTCTTCTATTAAAAGAAAACAGAAAACAAGGGAGCAATGGGGTATTTCCTGGGGAACTGCAGACACATGGAGTGTATCTGCAGGCAGGTCACATCCGTCCACTGTCAGAAAATTCACAGAGCAGGCGTGCTGCCTCGAACATGTCGTTGGTTAGTGAGTCAACAACTGGATCCTCCAGGACCTGAAAGACATGAGAAGGAACCAAAGCCTCACTAGGTATGATTTTAACACAGTTGGTTATGGTGAAGAGCTCCTTTAGGCAGACAGCAGCACAAGGTGTGCTAGGGGAGGGAATGGCACTGGTCAGGGCTGTGTGCCTGAAGCAACAAAGTTCAGGTAGAGTAATCCATCAGTGGGTGTGGAACTGATGAGCACAATCCATGCCTAATCCAACTCCCAGGAATTCAGAGCAGACCAATTCCCTTCATTTTGCCCTAGGCTTTGGCTCCTATAAAAGCCAGTAATTGACAGAAGGTAAGACAGGAATTAAATAATTAAGGAAGTGATGTCCTGAATAGGGGAGCTCTGCTCAGGGAGAGAAAGAAATATCTCCAAAATTAATTCACTTTTTGTTTGTTTGCTTGCTTTCATTTTATTCACATTTTGGTTCTAACAGGATGCATGACCTACAAAAAAAAATTAGTTGTGTGGACAAAATAAAGTTTTCATCTGCATCTCTGTGGTTCAGGAACCAAATACCTGCTTATTCTTGCCACAAGCCCAGAGTAAGTTGATTCAGCAAGAAGCAAAGTGCCCAGGAAGTCTGTAGAATGCTGTAAAATCATTTACCCATTCAAGCTCTTCCTTTTCATAGAGCACACACTAAAATATGCAAAAATTGCTTTTCTGAAGTCTTGAACTGAGTAATTATTACAAAGATTTGAAGATGTCCCATTTGACATCTACAAGCATCACTCAGTATCTTGCTCCCAGCCCATAGTGTATTGAGTGTCATGTTTCTTCACCACTGCAAAAATCAGTGCAAGGATGCAGAACAGCAAGATGAAAACTAGCTAGAGACAGCCTGCTCTGGGAATCTTAGAAAAGGCTCATTCATTATTAATGCCCAAAGCTTTCCTTCTCGTCTGGCTTACATTATAGCTGGTAAAAAGACTACTTTCCAAGATACAGATCTTTATATTGATGCTTTCAGAGGCTCAGAAGAGGTTCTGTTACTGCCCTCAGAGCTGCAGCCATTTCTCATAATGGGGCCAGCAGATATGGGTCCTGCTTTTTGTAATCCCTATTGGAAAGGTTTCCCCAGTAGCTCACACTGAAAGGGAAACAGCAATGGATGCTGACTGACTGTTAGACCAACATATGTGAAGCCAAAAAATACATCAGTATACAGCTTAGACAGAGCTTTCTTGGGTCCTATTTTTAGGTAACAATTCAGAGATGTGTTCCCATCCCCTTGAAAGCACAAGATTTCTAACTTGTATTCTCTACTGCTTTGAAGTCCCCATCAAAAGGCATGCAGACTACACCCACAGCATGGAACTACCTTCTTTATCCTGGCCAGTAATCACACTGCTCTGTATACTGCTATCAGCCATCTCAGAACAGTGCAAAATTCCTTCTCCTCAGCAATAACACAGACTCGCAAATGAAAATTACAGTAGATGCTTTAAAAGATCTGAGAGAACAGAGTCAAATTGTGCAAAACACCTTAGAGGGGAGGACCTCAAGGAGGCATCTTTGTGTGATTATTCTATAGGTGAGCCCTCCAATGCTGAAAATTTAAATGGCACTTTGGATATGCACAGGATCTTTTAGCCACCATTTCAATGACATGTTTAGTAAAATTAGGGTCTGACTAGCAATTCAAGTAGAAAAAAACAAAACCACCTTTCCTTCTACTATCTGCTGGGTGTTAGCCAGGGAATGCCCAGCTTGCTCTGAACTGGACTTCAGAAGCTAGGCTTAGATCAAACATATTTCATACTAAATATGATATGAGATTTCACATCTCCTCTGAGAGAGCTGCAGGGGATCGTGTGTACAGAGCTTCTTTCTCTGAACTTTAGGTGTGTTCTTACCTGGCTTTGTCCCAGGGCTTGGCTTTCTTCCACACAGGGTGCAGAAACAGGTGGGCACTGAGGGTTGCCAAACACAGTCTGAGAGGAACTGGAAAAAATATTATACATATTATATACAAGTGCATTTGTATTTATGCATTATTTGCCACTTACTGTAATGTTTTGCAGCAGGACAAGAGGGGGTTTTGGCAAGACTGCTCATTTGATAGTTCTTTTGTCTACACACCTGCCCCATTTCTCAAAATTGTTATGGCCTGAAAATAGAGGTTCTGCAGTGGGAAGACTGCCCTGACCAGGAGCAGTATATAGGGAGTAGTATATATCACATCTCAATTTGCAACTTTCCTTCTGCCCCAAAGCACTATCCATAAACAAGGAGGTGTCTACCAAAGCTCCTGGAACATGTTTTAAAAGTAGAGACCTTAACAGTCAAAATATGTGGCTTTAGACATAGACACAACATTGGCTGCCCTTCTGCTGCAGCTTTCCAAGGCCACCAGTGGAGTCTGGGGACACTACTTCCCCATCCACACTCCCCTGGAGGCTCTTCCAGCCTCTCAGATCAGTCTGTGGGCACTGGGTACTCAAGAATGGGATGTTCTCTCCCATCATCACCAACTCAAAAGTCTCTCTAATGCAACAACAGTGCCCATACCACCTCCAGGAATAGCCAAGGTGTGAGTGTCCATATGAGCCCAGACAAGAGGTGCCCAATAGGAGAGTACAGGAAAAAAGTACAACCAACAGGATAAGTGTCAAGTTGCCCTTCCTTGGAATGTTCCCCAGGTTCCAGCAGCCAGCCTTGCGACTCCTCTGCTGGAGGCTGCATTCAGAGACACATTTCCTAATGACAAATGGCCTCAACTCCCTCTCCCACCCTCTCAAGAATTTGTCTCATGCTTTTTTACAGCCCACTTACACTGACATGCACAGTGGCCTTAGCAACGAGTTCTGCAATTCAGTTATGCAACGTGCCAAAAAGTAGCCTCTGTTGGTTGGTGGGTTTGGGGGTTTGGGACTTGCTGCCTGCCTGTGTCAGGATGCTGGGTTGTCCAGAGGGGAGAGCCCAGCTGCAGAAGGATCCCAGCACTCTGAGCTGGAATCCCAGCAAGCAGAAGCTGTAAGCTGCCATGAACATCTCGGCACTGACATTTTCTAAATCAATATGCTGGCTCATAAATGCAGAATGCATTGCTCCATAATGCTCAGTGTGCTTTTCTTTCTGAAATGGAAGGCACAAGATTTCCACTCTGCAAGAACCATTAGCTGGGCTACATTCCACCTGTCCCGATTTGCAGAGTAGAGAGGATGCACCACCACTATCTGTAAAGGGGAGCATCTGTTTGGTGTCCCACGGGGACTTCCAGGCCGCTTGCTGGATCAAACCCTCCTCTCAGGCAGCAGAAGCAGATGGAGACAGTCAGCTTCCAGCCTGGTTCCCTCTCACACTCCCACCTCACAGCCCTGTAGATCAGAAGAGGTTTGGACACAGCCCAGGTGCGTAGGAGTGGCTGTAAAAAGCCCATGAAAGAAATCAACAGGAATTGTTCTGATAAGATTTGAGGCCACATCCTTTCCAGGTGAGCATTTTTAAAAATGAGACAAGCAGATTAAGGGTCCTTTGGCTGACTTGCAGCTCTATCCCAGGACTCAGGAAGCAAGGAGAGCATAACACAGAGTCCACTCCAGATAGGTGATCTTGGCTAAATAATTTCCTTCTCTTTGTGTTACTCTTACCTCTAAAACCAGGATAACATCACTGCTCTGTCCTTCCAAGACAGCAACACTCATTTGCCTTGATCAGACAGTTTGATCTCTTGCCCCCTCGAGTCCCCAGAGGAGTCATTACACCATGACTGCTCAAGAGAACTCTGGTAACAATAATCCCTGACTCTGTTAGAGGGCTCTGCCTTATTACACAGGTGATCCTCACTGACTGAGCAGTGATCTTACCCAAGACTACCCGCACAAGCTCTCCTGGCTCCCTAGAGAGAAACTGTGAAATGAAATTACAGCCTAAGAATCAATCATTTCTGAAAAAGATTGATGTTCCATAGCATTCATGGAATTTTGAGGAGGTCAAGGTTTTGGGGAGATCTGGACCAGGCCACTAAACAGTGTTTACAAATAGGGTTCAAATAACTATGTCCTCACCAAAAGGTGCCAGCAAAGCAGCAAGTCCTGCCCCTCACAGGAATATGATAAAGGGTGTGTGGATGCCTGGCACACTGACATACCCAACAAGGAGACATTCACCATAGATTTCTTCTACTGGCAGAACATATTTTAAAAATAAACATGAGCTCACTCCAGAGTCAGAACATGCAATTTTAAATCCAGCCAAAATATTGCTAGCAAGCCTTGCTGATCTTTTATGATCTTTAGCCACTGTTTAAAACTGTGGATCCTAAAACTCAGCCTGAGGTTTACAATGCCTGACCTAGGTTCTCCCCAGCAATTCAGAGCAAGAAGTCTGACATGAATGTGAACAAGGCACCTGGCCAAGTGAGAAACAGGGGTAAAAGGCAGAAATGTTTTCTGCAGGGAACTGAGGCCAAAGCCTTACCAATCTTCATCTCCAGTGAATCACTGCATTTACTTGTTGTTTAACAAGCCACAATGCCTTCTGTGCCTCTGCTTCCTCATTTTTAAAGTGGGAATAAAGCTTCTTCTCCCTCCCTTTTTGACACACTGACTATGTAATGTTGGCACAAATGCTGGTCAGTGTCAAGCAGAAGGGTTATAAAATGAGGCTGCTACCCCTGCTCTGTCTTGCAGATCAGTAAATTAAAGGAAGCCCATAATGTCTGGCAGTGTTTATTTTTATGTAACATTATGGAAGTTGTATAACATATGGAAAATGGCACGAATTTTTGTTGTTTTGCATTCTCTGAATTTATCTCAATTCCCAGAGAAAATCTGAAACATTTGTTATAGGTGGAAAACAAAGAGAGAACAGTGCCTGTCTTTCCATCTTCCAATTTGGAAAGCTTGCACTATGGAATAATCTTGTCATGAGGTTGTGAAGCTACAAAAACTATTTTAGGATTAAGTACAGGCCCTACCAACCCAGCCCACAGAACCAACAGAGCCAGCCCTCACTGGATCAGTACAGGTTATGCTTTTCTGCCAAAACCAAGCAAATAGTTCAGAAACTGAACCTGCCTAAAAAACAGAAGGTCATATCTTCTCTGATTAGGCTGGTTCCAAATCTCCTTTGTGCCACACACACACATGTATACGTAGACAAAATTACCCATGCACAGATATAAATGCTGGCAAAGAAGGATGGACACAAGAAGCAGTCCCTGGGAATGAGGTATGTCACTATTTCTGCAACTCTCTTCAACAGGGTATCAAGACATGGCTGGACTCTGCATCATTTTTATTCCTGCCTTTAGGCAGCCCTGTGCTGTCCCCTCCTTTTACCTGTGCATAATAGATTCCACGGTCCCTAGCTGTCCTCCTCTAAGGATTAAGCTTTCATCCTGTAAATCTGACTGCTGAATGATTCTTTCTGAACTGGCTTCGACACAGCCACCTTGAGGGGCTGTGCTCAAGGGAACTCTGATACCTGCTGAAGTAAATGCTCGTGTTAAACACAAGTACAGATACAGATAACATGGCCCCAACCTCTGACCCAGCTATTCCTTCTCTCCTTGCTCCACATTCACCAGAGCCTGGGTGAATGGCAGTTACAGCCCTTCCTGCTCTACAGACCTACAGCAAAAGCAAGAGGGCATCACTTATGCATTCTATCAAGCCTATTCTGAAGAACAGGGAGAAGAAAAGAAATGTGGGAATGCTGAGCAAGACTGGACAGGAAGAAGACAAAGAGAAAGAGAGAAAAAATAGCAAGAGGGAGAGGAAAGTGAAAACATGTGCTTGAAGACAAGCACCATGTCACAGTAAAGTTCCCAGACTTTTCTCAGGCAATACTTAATGATGACAGGCATTAAAAAACCAGAAGCTTGCAAAAGGTCAAGGTGAGCAGACAACACCTGGAGGGATTCTCTCAATGGAAACACTAAAAGGAAACCACCACTATCTAATGGACGTGGTTGCAGGTTAGGGAAAAGAGTAGGTAAGAATGTCTGCTTTAACACCTTAAATCAACAGATTTTCTCACTGAACTACTATGGAAGTAGAACTCCACAGCTCCAAATAAGCCCTGCTCTTCCTCATCAGGATACTTAAGTGAGCAAGAGTGTTTACAGCAATGAGAAGAGAAGCTTGGAAAATCTTAGGGTCAACAATCTGGGTGCAGTTTTACTAACCTTCTACACCTGGGGTCCACGCAGAGTCAGAGACTCCTTCAGTGCCATAAGGGGCCCACCACATGGGCAGCCAATAATTCGCAGACGGAAGGGACTCATAAGAGTGCAGGACAAAGTTCCCCTGCCAGGGGCTGGCAGTAGCCCTGCTCACTGCTTCTGCAGGCAGCAGCACAGGAGAGCCAAAGCAGGTTCCTGGTTCCATCACAGCCGCAGTGCCAAAAGGTACAGGTTGTTCAGTGCTGTGAGTGGCCAACAAAGCCATGCTTGTTCCAGTTTCATACAGCTCAGGGCTCTGCATATAGCTGCAACGATGGAGAAAATGAATCAGACACATTGCTTTGCCAAAAGGGGACCCCCAGCTAAACCTCTGAATCCTGCCCTCCACAGCTGGGAGATTAACTGCTCTGACTGGACATGGAACATTTCCATCAGTGGTGGCAAAGCTCCCAGGTGATGTCCCCAAGAACCAACACACAGGTCAGTTCCATTAATACATTTAATTGTTGCTTCATTTCTGAACTGTCACTGTAAAGATGCCATACATCACCTGGATTCCAGCATATTTAAATATGTTCCTTCAGGAGGTTTATACAGAGGTGCAGCTGATTGCTCGCATCCTGGCTCACAGGGCATGTGAGTTATCTCAATTTGCTCAGGGATGTTGCCTGCACGAGATCCATCTGAAAGGTACAGGCCAGGCAGGTGAAACAATGCTAATGGTTACTCTAAAAGGCAACAAAACAAGTCCAATCTGCCAAGTGCAGCAAGACCCCATGTGTTCCCTGTGACTGAAGTTTGGTTATGTGTCTGTGGAAGGACATGGAAACACTGGGTTTTCCTGGAGTACACTGCTCTGATTCCAGAATCTGAGAGCTAAAACCTGCTGCTTCCCATGTATTTGCTTTCATTTGGTGCCCCCTTAAAGCCAGACATCTCTTTTCACCTGTTGTCGCACAGGCGTGAGCAATGTCTGCACCTATGGAGTGACAGCCTGGAGCCAAACAATGAGGCACTCCACTGAAGCAGAGTCCTGCAGCTTCCACTTGATCCATCAGCACATAATACTGTTCTGAAGAGGCAATATCCTTCCCTTCCTGAGGGAATTGAAACTGATTTTCACCTCTCTGGACGACATCCTGAACCCATTAGGAAGAGACAAACCTGCAGTTTGTGGAGTGTCAGATCCTTTATCCTGTGGCTCATTTCTCTGGGAAGCCAAAGCCCTCTCAGGACATGAATTGTTGAGCTCTTCCATACGAAGGAGGCAAGATTTTTGACGTCGTCGATAATTTGCAAACCAATTATAGACCTGAGTTGGCTGCAGGTTCAAGGCCCGAGCCAATCCCTCCTGCAAACCCAGGAGCAGGGAGAAATCAAAGGAAAAGAAATCACATCCAAATAATCAAGCATTTCCTTTCAGTTCCAAAAGCAGTCCAGCAAAAGACTTTCCAAAGCCAGAGACATTTACTCACTAGGTCTCTAGTGAAGTAAAGAGGCCTAGTGGATCCCATCGAGGAGACCATTTTATAAACTCAGAGCTGATAGAAAACACAAATTCCACCCTGCACTCCCGGATAATTTGTTTGCTAAGGAAGCCACTGCTATTCTATACTACTCACCAGATAATGCCCTCACCAAACTATGTTCTTCCTACAGAATGACAGCTTCACAGAGGCAGATACCAAAGTCTGAAGCCCTCACCTGGCAAGGTAGTGATCAACAGTGCTTGTTGATTTAATTCACACATCTCTTCCATTACAAACCTGTCCCTGTCCAAAGAAGGTAGATCCATGCATACACCAACACAGCCTATTGTGTTATCACATCTAATTACCAGCATTTGAAAAGTCAGCACAAAATATGTTCTGGTGAACAGAGTGCAATTTTATATAGGCTGTAACTCAGTCAAGTCAGAACTATTTATCACTGTAATAGAGCTATGCTGAGTGATGGCTGTTTGGCTGCATGTGCTCAATCATTACAAAATTAAAACTGTTAAAAACCCAGTGAGAAATTTATTGCCCCTCAACATTTGTCCACAGCACAAGAAATTACTTAGCATGAACCTGATGATTTTTTAAAGAGACCTTTACGGAAAGATCAAATATGAGGAATCCCAGCCCCAATGAGCCTTTTGGAAACAAAGGTTTAGAAATTAAACCAGTTGTAGACTCTTGATTGCAGTGTCCTGCTTTTCTGTGACAAAGAGACTTGATTGGAAGTATCCCTAGCATACCCCTACCCGTTGTTTCTTGTCTGGACTTGCTGTCACCTCTGCAGCAAACTTGTACAGGTGCTGGCGTACTTCTTCTGAATAGTTTCGATTCTTCAAACCCTCAGGACAAAGGGAAATAGGTGGAGGATTCCTGTACACAGGAGAAAATGGGATTTAAAAGGACCCAAAAGGAATAATTCACGTTAATGGGAATTTTCTCACATTGCAACAAGTGGTCAAAACACCAAGAAAAACCAAGAAGCAGCATCTTGAGGTGTAAAACAAGCCCCTGCATCTGTAGCCCCTGCATCTGGAAACTACAGAGTAAAAAATAATCTTGGTTTCCCAGCTATGAAGTACCTCTTCCTACAACGGAATTTCTGCAGTGGTGTCAGAACATCTGTCTGGTGTTTCTCCATAACCCTCCGGTAGTGAATCTCATGCCAAAGTTTCACCAGTTCTTCCTTCTCTTCTGCCTTGCAATACTAAAACAATACTGTGTGTAAGTAAACCTTTCCAGAGAGTCACTCACACATGCATAAAGGAGAAAACCCTCAACAGAAATGTATTCAGGGATTCCTACTGGTACGACAGCACTAGTAGCATTATCTAAGCACATGGCTCGCTGTACCTTCCCTCATGTACACAGACAGTTGCCTATTTCCTTCTTTTACTCTGGTGAAAAGACCTACATTACCGGATCTAGAGGCCAAAAATCCCTCACCTTGAGTGGCACCATCAAGCCTTCTTCATATATTCCCACCCTACAAAGCTCCCTAATCTTGGGCTTCCCAACATTTTTATGTCCTGAGCCCTAAGATTGTGAAAAACTGCAAGAGCCATCACAGTAGAACACAAATCCTGCTACCACCACCACCATAATCACCCAGTTACTTTCCTCCCCTTGGCTGATTAACTCTAAGTGCCGGTAACAAAGGCTTTGGCAGGTCAGCAATGCGCACTTATCACCTTCCACTGCCTTACACAAGCTGGAAGTGCTCCACGTGCCGCGGTTTAGGTACTTCTGCACTAACAGCTCTAACTACTGTTTTTCTAACATAGCTTTTTATTTCCATGAAGAACTGAAGAACACATCCCTACCTCCAGGAGTCTGCAGGCTGCATCATGTTGCCCTTTATGGATATGAACGGACACACAAGCCCGGACAACATGGATGTTAGTAAGAAAATCTATCTTGTTCTTGCATTCCATCACGGCTTCAACCAGCTTCTCCAGAGTAGTAGATGAGCTCTGGAGCTCCTGGCAAAGCTGTCCTGCTAGATTCAACAGCTTGGTAGGTGGGGGACGCTCATTTTCATTCTTCTTTAACATGGCCATGAACTGCTTCATCATCATGTCTTGTTGGAACTTTTTCTATGCAATGCACGAAGTTGTGGTTAGATAAAACTCTTTATCTCGTATTTTTAGCTTCTATGGTATGCTTTTTTTTTTTTTTTTAAGGAAAGAAATTCACTGTGCTGTTAAAAGCAGCGTAAGGACCTCAAAATGTTTAAAATAAAACAAGGTCTAAAGCCGCCCTGAAAAGCTAAAGACACACTTGGTTTGCAGTTGAGAAAACTGAACTCAGAAAGACACAATTAACTTTCCCCAAACTCAGAGACTAACTCTAGGGTTTACATCCACTACTTACAGGTTAAAACTACCGCAACCTTAAGTCCAGAGACGTTCAGCTGAAATGAATTTGCCGAAATTTCTCCAAAATGGCACGCGACAGGCCCGGGCAGACCGCAGTTACTGTAAAATGTAAAAACCCTCGTCGGGGCTGCTTCTCGCCCGTTTTCCTGGGAGAAGGACGCCGGTGCGACTCCCCGCACCCTCGGGCAGCTCCAGCCCCGCCGGGCAGAACGAGACGCCGGAAAAAGCTGCGAAGGGCAGGAGCTGCACGCGGCAGCCCCTTCTGCTCCTCCCGCAGCCAGACGAGGGCCCGGCAGCCGCCCCGCTCCCACCCCCGTGATCACCGCAGCCCTCGGTGGGTTCAGCTCAGTGTCACCGACTGTCCGAGCGCTTCCCGGCGCCGAGGCCACGGCGGGGTCAGCGCGGAGCCGCCGGGGCTCTCCCAGACGCCGCTCAGGCGGGGCTCCGAGGCTGCCCCTGCACCCCACCCCCAGCCCGCTACAGCTTCGACCCTGCATGCACAGGGCTGCCGGAGGGCAGAGGAGATGTAGAACGGTGTGGAATAGCAAGTTCCTTCCATAGTAGAGAGTATTTTTAAGTCGTTAATGGGGATCAAACGAGCACTGATAATTGTGACACAGAGACTGAATGAAGAGGCGCACAGCTCAAACCCACCTTCTATAGGTGGGTGCTGTCTAAAAACAGATGAATCATCCTGACTCAGTTTAGGGGATAAACATTTGAAGCAGTTATGATTTGCCTTGAATCAGATCTGAACACCACCGCGAAGGTGTCGGTCCTCCCCTCATTCCAGTTTCCCGAGGACATGTAACAGTGAAGAGCCATCTGGAAGGGGAGCCAACAGCACGGCACGGCACGGCACGGCTGGGTGCCTGCTGTGGTTCACCCCAAACCTGCACTTCGGTAACAAACTCGTGCCAACGCCCTGCAAAGACAAGGCTACACGCTTGAGCGCAGGCAGCTTCCCCTTCCCATGCAGACACATTCTAAAAACCTGCCTATAACCCTCGGCAGCAACTTGTGCTCAGGAGCCCTTGATTTCTCCTTAGGCTTCGGTTCACCTTGCAAGACAGTAACTGGCTTCCTGCTCTTGCTGTGTGACACTGCTCTAGATCCGGAAATGAAGACAGAAAATCCTGCATGATTACAAGACAAAGCCCCAGCACTGAACTTTGAGCTGAACACAGAAAGCAGTATTTTCTTTTGGCCATTGTTTTCTTTTACTCACCAATTTTGTATTGCTGTCTGTGGAGTTACAACAAAACATCAGGTCACTTAATTTTCTGCATTTTACTTATTTACATGTATGAAAATTTAACAAGCATCTCTCACATCTTATTTTACATATTCACACAATCAGGTACACCTTGGAAGGGGAAGGGGCAGGCTGCTGCCAGGCACATCAGATGCCACCTGGCACCGATCTTTTCCAGCAACTGGAAGCTGATACCATCACACTGTGCTGAATCCAACTGCCCTTGAAAACCATTTGCACTGTCCCTCCTTTACCCCTGCTCTAACTGAAGTTTTGGCAACCCAGGACTGTAGCTACTTGAAACCAAGCTAAGGTCAGGTGATAGATACTGGCAAGCCAAGAGCTCAAATTCTTTTTTTTCCAAGCACTTAATCAAATTCTGTTGAATATCAACAGCAGTATTGCTCAGGTCCTCTTGGAGCCTCAATATGAATCCAACAGAGAGACTCTTCACTTCTACTTCCTTGCCACAAGGTAAAGCTTCTAGCTGTCTCCCTAAGAGATACAACCCTATTCACGGAGCACTGGCATGCATTTTGTCCAGACAATCAGTCCAGAACGTAACAAGCCGGCTGTCTTTGTTCCAGCAGAAGTCTGTGAAGTCTTTCAGCAGCCGGTCTGCGAACTTCTCGTCGCCAGTGGCGCTGGAGCGCCAGGTTTTGGTCAGCATGGTGTTGTAGGCCCAGTTGTAGCCAATGCGTTCCTCACAGAACATGTTCTGGTTGGTGGAGCTGGTGGAGTTGCGCCGGCGCCGCTGCTGCCCGCTGGAAAACTTCCGCTTGGAATATGGCAGCTGCAAAAACACTGTCCCTGCAGGAAACAGACAGCACTTCAGTCTGAGACAGACCTAAGCCCCTACTACTGGAAGCTGAATCATTAAATTCCCAAATGAAACTGGCCCGAGTTTTATTTAATTGCCTTTTAGCAAGAGAAAATGGGATACACTTTTCTCCCTTGGCTGTTAGGTGCTACTTCTTCCTGTCTAACACTGGGAGGGAGTGCACTTTGTCTGCCTTTCTCTTAGAAACACAGAATGAAGCAAAGATTCAGTAGGCTCTGATCCATCTTGCTAACATCCCATCAATGTCCATTCTCTTCTGCAATTTTCCAAACACTGCCTTCCTGTCATTGTTTTCTCATCTCAGCAAGCAGATCCTAAATGCTTGATCTATCTCCCACACAGTGTGTATGGGTAGAGACGCATCTACAACAGACCTTAAGCATGAGAACAGAGCACTGACTTGTCCTAACACCTTTCCCTCCTTCTTGCTTCTGGGTACACATTTATTTACACTGACCTTGGTATAAACTTTGTCTTATTTTTTAAAATTTCCTCATCTTCTGGAAAGAAAAGTTTCAGAGCCACTGTGAAGCAGAATTTCAAGTCAACATCATTTATTAGCAGCAACACTTTGTGCTTTTCATACTGCCCCCTCCAATTTTCTGGTTTGTGTTTTCTGACACACTTACTTGTCATCTGGTTAGGGACAGAACAGCACCAACATCACTGACATGAAACAAAAGCCACATGTAAAATTGTTCTCTTGTTTGTAATAACCCCCTCCTTGCCACAGAGCCTCCAAATATTGCTCACCTGTGACATGGATGTACTGGGGCTTGTTTTCTGCTGGGAAGTTGAATGCAGAGGCTGAATATTTATCTTGTACAAATCCAAATCTGAAGAAATAGAGATAAGAGGAATTAAAAATGAAAAAGATAGAAAAAGCTGCTCCAGGTAGAATTCCTCAGCCAAAGGCAGGGGCACCAGAGGAAATCCTTCCACTATCTCTTTCTTATGGCCTGAAGGCAAAAGGAAAAGGGATGAAGAGAGCTGAGCCTCTCCAAATATTCTCTGCCCCTGCCAGACACAGTGTGAAAGCCTGTCACTCCACACTGCTCAGGCCTGTCACCCCACACTGCTCCCTGGCCTGACTCGAGCTGGAAACAAGAGCAGCAGCTCCATGCAGTCTCTGACAAAATGAGGCAGCTGCACACGAGAGAGGGAAGAGCAATAGTCAAGACAGATGTTCCCTGGCCATGTTTAGAGCTGCAACATTATTATTTTCATTATGTACAACATTCCATGCAGAACTTCAAGCAGCTTACCTGGAAGTTTTTTGCTGTTTGTAGGATACTTGGTCTTCTCCTGCTTTCTAAACTAATGAAAGCCGATTTCCAAGCTAAAGTCCATTACAAAAGGCAGCCCTCTTTGTCATGAAAAAAACCCTGGCATCTACACCATGAAAGAAACTGGCAGCTCAATAAAAAGGGATAAGGCTAGATAGTATCCAAAGCTTCCAACGATTCCTTCTTGAACTGGGCCCAACCTCCTCCTCCATACAGCTCCCACCCTAGTCTCCTGCCTATTGTCAATCATCAGGTGTCATCCAGTTCAAGACTGTGCTAAATACACAAGAAGGAAATAACTTCCTTCTCAGAAAGAGTCTATTTACAGCCTTTCTGCTTCTAACTTAGAACAACAGGCACTTTCCAAAGGCAAGGCTCTCCCCAGGAGGAGGGTATGGTTCCTAAGGAGTGACAGCTGCCCCTTGCACCCACAGAACCACCTGGGGACACAGAGGCTGTATTTTAGTCTAACAGTCTGTACACAGACAGCACAGAACCCAAGTGACTCAGGAGCGGCTGTTCAGCACAGGCCTTCATTCCACATTGTCCAGGGAGACAGGAACTGTTTGGTCACCCCACTCCACTGCAGACATACCGGTGAGCTATTGCTTCCTGAAGAAGATGCATTCGGTCCCAGTATGTTTCTGGTTCGAAGCCTGAATCAAAGAGAAAAGTAACAATTACCTACTAACGCTACTTTATTTCCTTCCTTTTAAAGACTTTAGTTTTCCTCTGGAGGCTTCAGTGCACTCCTTTTTTTTCCCTTGTCATTTCTTTCAGTCACACTTTTTTGTCAGGTGTCTCTTAGAGATGTGTCTGGTGCACTCCAGTAGCAGACTCATGTCTGAATTTATTATTTGTGTCTCCTGAGATGAAGGAGAAGAACATAAAGGGGGGGAGGGTGTGGGAGGGGGCAAGGAACGAGAGTGGGTTGCTGTATCACAAGAGTGCTCTGAAAATATTTAATTCAGTCAGTTGGGCTATGGTGACCTCACAGCATATGGATTTGTCACATTCATTGTACAGTTACACCTGGACACTGAGTCAAGGGTTAATAAAAATATCAAATTTACTATGTTAAAACAGAGCCTTTTGATAATTGCCCCTCCTCATGATACAACTTTGCCCTTCTCTGCATGGGGACAGGTCTCTGATCTTGTGGTTCCACCTGAGGTTTACCACAACAGCCTCACTGGAAAGGGCGAGGTCACATTGCAGAAAAGGAGATTGCAGTTGCTCTGCCTAATCTCATGTGCAAACACTGTAACCATTAAAGTAACCATAGCAACAACAAAAGAAGGATGGCAGTGGTGAAAACCCAGTCTTAGGGAGG